TGTTTCAAAACGGCCATCGAAGAAGTTCATCATACGAGTTTCTCATAATGCGATTGTACCGTTTTTGTTTGCAATCATCTCTGTATTGTTCTATTATGTCATGACTTCAAGTCGTCCATTTAGTATGGGCACCTTCATACAAGTAGAATTTCATAGTGGGCGTTTCATAGTTTCATTTAAGGCGAAAAACAGGGCACAGCATTCGATGGGGATTTTGGTCGAGCCTGTACGACCCCCCCCCTTTTTTTGGGGGTTCGGTACGACCCCCCCTTTTTTTGCCGTTCGGTTTTTTTCGCCTTAAATGAAACTATGAAACGCCCACTATGAAATTCTACTTGTATGAAGGTGCCCATACTAAATGGACGACTTGAAGTCATGACATAATAGAACAATACAGAGATGATTGCAAACAAAAACGGTACAATCGTATTATGAGAAACTCGTATGATGAACTTCTTCGATGGCCGTTTTGAAACACACATGGTAATAATAACGATATATCGCGATTAAAATTCAATGAGCATATAGTAACGTGAGTGCACTCCTGCTCTGGAGGCGGCCAATCAGCGGACAAGTGTTAAAACGTCATATTACAAGACTCGAGGACGATACAAGAAAGTTAGGCTTGTCTCACTACGTAACAGTTATACAAACCGCCGTAAAAATGCATTACCCCGATTATTGGAGTACGGTAGCAGAAGCGCATGTAATTGCAGATGTGACCGCAGATCGTTCGGCAATTTTAGCCATGGAGCGAGAATTTTCAGCAAAGTAGGGTGTCTTTGAAGGACCATAACTTCCTCAAAAGCGGACCTGTGGGGAAGAGGAGACCGTATTCGTGTAGAGGAAGGATTGCACTTCCTAAATGTACTGAAACGTTTATGAAGGTCGCAAAAATCACAGAGAATGCCCTAGGGATTCACATGGAGGAGTGAAGTTGATTATTAAGTTGAACAGGTTTGAACCAATATATTTTTTTTGTAACTCAACATTTCACAAATCTGAGAACGGATCCGAGTGTTTGAAGATTTTCTCTTTCTGAAAACCTCTTGAACTGTTTCTGAAGCTCTCGGGATTCATGAGATCTCGCTATGGGGATTTCTTGAGGAACACTCCCAGCTGCGCGAAAAACCCGTTTCCTGTGTACCGTTCCAAGTGAGCGTGTTCGACATAGCCAGAGAACGAAATGTAGAGCGTATCTGTGGGTAGGACAGGAGCAGGATAATGGTTCGTTAAGGGATCACGTCATTTGGATAGCGCGCACTGAGGGCCGCGCAGAGGTGATGGGATGGTGCAACTTGTGCGTAATGTCTGTTCACGCGAGCAAATGTGTCTATAAGGTTCAGGGAGGTCCATGGCGAGCCTGTGCACTTGTTTACAGTGTTTTTCCGTGCGTATGATGGAACATGTCCCTGTCAACGGATGCAAGATCGTGCTCTGCAATGCGCTGACTCCGATAAAGGAGACCAACTGCTGGAAAACGTCTGATATGAACGATATGGTAGTCCTGTCGCTTGTCGAGAAAAAAACAGGTTGGCTCAGCGCCAAGCGTGACCGCGGACACGCCATATCATTGGCAGCGAACCAGAGTTTGACTGTTTGTACTGTTTAGTCACCAACGCCTACAGAATGATGTCGACTTATTAATATTTGCAGTTATTTCGGATTAGTTTGATGAATGAAAGTTTTGTACTATTTTTTGCATATCCGAGTTCTCTACAAAGCAAGTTTCGTTGTACAGGACTCAGCACATTGACAATTTGCGCTGCTCGTTACTGGCTGCCACACTCACTACGACCCCCCTCTCCTGGCGGCCAAATACGACCCCCTGTTGGGGATTCCCCAACCAACGATGTGCCCTGTTTCTCGAATCTGCAGTAGCAGATGTTATAGCAGTGGGATCCTTCATTACTAAATTAGGTTGTCCGGAAAGTTCTTAGCGTTTTGGGTGTTTAACTTTAAACGATCATAACTTTCTTAACACTCATCGGATTTAATCCAAATAAGCACCATTCGAATCAGCACACTTTTGCCAATGTGGCAGCAGTCGAGAAATCCCATCAAAGAAAACTGGGTGGTCGAGAATCCACGAAATCTGCGAAGGTCTTTTTTGCCTGGTCCTTAATTGATGAAGTATTTTTCAGCAAGGAAGTTCTGAAAATGTCTGAAAAGGTGACAGTCGGTTGGTGAAAGGTCTAGAGAATATGGTGGGTGAGGTAGAACTTCAACTCCCAATTCGTAATAATTATGGGATAGTTGATTTGTGAACGTAGTGGCGGGTTGTACATGCAAAGAACTCGGACCCTTTCTTTGATAAGTAGTTGATGAGCTGACAATATTTTTCGGTACATTTGGTCGGTTTTGTTCACAGTAGGGTTCTGCTGTGATGGTTTGGCCTGGTGATGAAAAGTTATAGTGGATTACAACAGCCGATGACCACCAAACCTGACCAGAATTTTTTTTCGCGAGGGTTCGGCTTTGAAAATTACCTCGGTGGTTCCTCCAAATCCAACCACTGTCCGGAACGTCTCCTGTTATCATACATGATCCATTTTTCATCACAGGTGACAAATCCGTTCAAAAACGGGTCAATTCTTTTGCGCAAAAGCAGTGAAGAAGGAACCTCGAGACGTGCCGATTCCTGCCGGTCACTCCGATTGTGGGGCACCCAATTGTCGAGTTTTTTCACCTTCCCAATGCGTTCCAGACCATCTGCAACAGTGGATTTGCCAAGGCCTAGCTCTTCTGCTTATTCTCGAGACTGTTTGGGATGGGTCAACCTTCAAAATCCCCTAAAATCCTCGTCAGATATTGCTTTAGGTCGACCGCTATGAGGCTCACCTTCAAGGCTGAAATCTCCAGAGCGAAATTTATTGAGCCATTGCCGCACAGTGCTTTCTTTAGCACTATTGGGCCCCCACACCTGGTTAATTTGTTGAGCTGTTTCGATTGCGGATTGCCCCAATTTATAGGGCCGCAAGAAAAAATGTCGCAGTGCTCTTTCATCATGCTTGAAAAATCTTGATAAAAAGAAGGAGTTATAGCATGGTGAAACGCAATTATATGCCATCAGATAGGGAGCAAGAAATTTCTAACAGGATGTGCTACTGAGAAGCCAAGGGAATTGAAGTTTTTAATACGCAGTGTATGGTACAAAGATAGATGCACAAAAGCGCACTAGACTTTCCGAGACATTACTACTACTGTGAGCAGCGATTATAGTAGGGAGTTGCAGTAACTCCGCTCAAGGGTTGATATGGTGTAGGGCAAGTGGCGCCGCTTATTACGCCGCTAGGTCCCGGATTAGGTTCACGGATTAATCACTCGTCAAACCGCTTGCCTACAGCCGTTTTTCTTGTGGATGGTTAGTTGGCATCAGTCTTCAAGAGGCTTCGAATGGCTTAGTGTGAGTCTACCATAGATAGAGAAGAGAAACGAACCATTAGCTCTTTTTGAGCTGAATCAATAAATGGTTTCTTTAACATTGTTGGGGAGACCAAATATGATGACTCACTTTGCATAAACTATATCGCCTTAAATGCCAGCACGATGCTAGATGAAGGTGAAATGCATGGCGCATCCTTGAAAAGGGATAAGCCGACATCGAAAGCTTCACCCCTCGCCAATTCTACTCTGTAAGTTCTCCACTCATACGATGCTTATTTAGAACGCTTCTGGCAATAAGCCTGTTATTATATGAAACATGGCTGTGATGGACTTAAAACCGTGGTTATCTTCTTCACCAGAGTTTACACCACTTTTGAACGACAGCCCTCATGAAGAGTAGGTTGTCGACTTCGGGTTCTCAATGCTTTAATCGATACTTCTAGCTTTAGTTAACTCACCACCTCTTGGTTCAATCAAAAAAACGACCAACTGTTCTCACTTTTTTTTCATTCCGTGCATATTCCTCATTGTTTCGGGCAGCATTTTGGTGATTGGTGAGAAGAGCTGGTATCTTGGGTTTTGGGTTATAACTCATTATGGGCGCGTCCGACCGTTGGGGAGAAATTCCCCTTGAATACACCTACCAACGGAAATTCTCCTGCTTTGTTTGATCCTTTTCCCCATCCTACGTCCCATCTTCATGATTATATCTGGTTCCACCATGCCTCCGGAGCCTTATCGAAAGTATCCGCTGGCAGAAGACTGCTTTGGCGCGTTCCGCAGTGATCAAGGCGGGACGACAGCATTTCCCTTATTGGCTGACCCTCTCTTGCCGTAGGGTTAACAAAATAGGGTGCCTCAATAAGAAGAGTACGATGCTTAGTGAGTCTCAGCCAATTCCCCGGCGCCAAACGTGTCTTGTGGGGTCAGTACACTGGATGGTGGTGGAGACAGGGTCTTGTCCGCTGCGGATGCTGGGGCGTTGCGTGAGGCTACGGGCTGGATTTGACACAACGCCAGCCTGCCCGTTCTCCACCGGCAAGCGACAACAATTCATGGAAAAAGGGCTGGCGTGGCGCCAAACCCAGCCCGCTGAGCCAAAAAGCTGCATTTGACTCACATGAAACGGCAGAAATCAACAACCAGGAACATTTGACCTCGAACGCAAACATCTCCCTTCTCCTCCCCCCTCCGGCGACCAAATACGATCCCCCTAGCCGGAGATCCCAACGTGCGACGTGCCCTGAGTCCACTTTTGCCTCTTTAAGATTGCTCAGTGCTTCCTTTCACATTCCTTTCTATGTTCCTAACGTTTAGTGCCTTACGAGTGACATTGCCGATGACATACAAGGTGCCTTTCTGTGAATGTAATTTGTGCCATAAAATAACCTCTAAGCCACGACTGTGCCTAGCATTTCTTGCCATGTTCGATTGAATTCACTTGAAAAGTTGCTTCTTTTCACTGCAATAAATTTATTCAGCATCATCGAGGTCTCTGTAAAGGAAATGTAAATATGAACATGATGATCCAAGTTATTCTATTTACCCGTATGAAAATTAATGCATTTTCCAAGGAAGTACATGAAAAGGAAAGCGGTCCAATCAGGCGGTAGCCGAGTTATGTATAGTTTGGTGAGGTGTTCTCCCATTAGGAACAGGGTCCCATGGGAGATTCAAAATGATAGTATCACTACGAGCAACTACCATATGAACACTCGAATCAAAGATAGAACAATCAAATAAGTTACGGCTTTCTGTGCAGCCGACTCTGACAGAAGGCTTTCCCTCCAGATCCGATCACAATCGAGTCCACAGCGTACTGTTGGCGCTTCCCATCGCGTTTCACTACAAGTGCATCTCGACAGATCACCACAGAAATCACCACGAAATCGCACCAACTGAAACATTTTCTATTAAATTGAAAGCAGAACCACATGAGAAACAAGTGGGGGCACGTTCCATGTTGATTGAATAGGTGGAGTCTCACGAAAATGGCACTACATTTATTGGTGGTCAGGGCACTTGCTGTCGCTGGGCAAGTTTTTGCGAAATATAACCCCTATCGTTTCCTTCTGCTACACCCTTCCCCACGCTACCTACCACCCTCTCAAGTTTTCCCTGCTCCCTACCACTGCCAAAATATCTCCAGTTTTCCTACGAAAACTGCTGTCGAGCAGAAGGGGAGAGGAAGGAGGAGTGGGGAGAGAGGAAGGGGGAGTGGGGAGGCATCGCCACTCAACTACTAATTTCATCCACCAGAAATACAAGTTGTAAAAGGCTTTGGCAATGCCTCAACTGAAGAAGCGGGGGAGAAGGTTACATGTGAAAGCGGAGAATCGCAAAACATCCG